ATTTGAAGAAATTTTTACTCGTTTTCATAAATTTTTTGCAGTGTACATTTAGTTTGTTCAAGTTTCAACACTTAAGCTCATATCGGCATAATACTAGCAAAAAAAATGCACATCACTGCCTAATGTTTTTTGTTTCATTCATCTCCATTGTTTCCATGATTTCTATGATCAGTTTCTTGGTGTCAATTCACTTTTTACACAATACTGTTGTATTTTAAGGTCTATGCGACGTATTGCGTCACACAAAAAAGTTTTTAATTTTAACTGGAGGTGTTTATTTTTTTGTTGTTTTTTTGTCCCGTCTCTGTTTACCAGGTAAGGACTCCCTGACCCTTGTTTTTGTGGAGACCAAGAAAGGAGCAGACGCCTTGGAGGACTTCCTGTACCGGGAGGGGTACGCCTGCACCAGCATCCACGGCGACCGCTCCCAGAGAGACCGCGAGGAGGCACTGAACCAGTTTAGATCGGGAAAGTGCCCCATTCTGGTTGCAACTGCGGTCAGTAAACCACAAACTTAGTTTTTTTGGGAGACTACAGAGTCAGCAGGACTGTTGTAATGTTTTTTTTTTTGTCATGTTGGTCCCTCAGGTTGCAGCTCGAGGTCTGGACATCTCCAACGTGAAACACGTCATTAACTTTGACCTTCCGAGTGACATAGAGGAGTACGTCCATCGTATCGGACGTACGGGGCGAGTCGGAAACCTGGGTTAGTGAGCACCTTTCTGACTCCTCGATAGAATGATGTAAAGTAGCTCCTAAGTACAATGTTAATGAGTCTTTATGCTACGCTGGTTCTCTGCAGGCCTGGCCACATCGTTCTTTAACGACAAAAACGGGAACATCACAAAGGACCTGCTGGATATCCTGGTAGAAGCTAAACAGGAGGTTCCCTCATGGCTGGAGAGCCTGGCTTATGAGCACCAGCACAAGAGTAGCAGCAGGGGGCGCTCTAAGAGGTGCTTATCAGCTTCATTCTCACTATCCATGTTGAGATCTTAAAAAAAGAAGAAAAAAAAAAAACCTTCCCATTTTTGGCGTGTAAATTTATGCTGGATTTCATGTCATCTCCAGGTTCTCTGGTGGTTTTGGAGCTCGGGATTATCGGCAGACAGCCGCTGGAGGCAGCGCTGTGGGATTCGGGGGGCGAGGAGGACGCAACCAGCAAGGACATGGAGGAAACCGTGGCTTTGGAGGAGGTAAGGACTGTTGGAGGATTGCGGAAAGCGGTGCATAGTTAATGTTATTTGAATGTATTTAAAACCATTAAAATACGGTAGATTAGTTTTCAGAGTTAATACATCCATCCAAAATGTAAACTTCCGGCGTTTTCTAGGGTTAGGGAAGTAAATGAACCTGTGGATGAAGACAGGAGGTTGTGTTTGATTTAATCTCAAAAGATTTGTTTCCTATACTAAAAGCTTTGATTTGAAGTGAGAATTTTATCATGTATTTTTCATTACCGGTGGTGATTTAAGCCATTTGTTCACATCCACAGGTGGTTTTGGGAACTTCTACACAAGCGACGGCTATGGAGGAAATTACTCACATTCTCAAGTGGACTGGTGGGGCAATTAGGTGTCTCCATTCCACCTCACCTCGTCTTTCTTTCCCCCTTTAACTCTCCATCATTTCCCCCAACCATGTCGTCTCCATCCCATCCGTCGTGTCACCTCTATTATTCCCTGGAACCTCCATGCATGTGATTAAACTATTTATACTCATTTATATAGCCCCTCCTTCTATTCCCAGTCAGTCACGTCTTATTAGCTTTAGATTTCTCTTGTGATTTCCATCTTCATTTTTCTCTACAAAGGTTTCCGTTCCTAATTTTCTGCCCAATCCTCGTAATGTTGGCCACTTTTTATAAAGGATCTTGGATTTCTTTTGTTGTTACATCCTGACTTCCCAGTAAAGATCTTTTCAAATCCCCAAAAATAGGAAATCTGCAGGCATTTGTAGGCAGGGTAACATCCTTTTTCTGACCTTTAGCTTCATGCATTTTGGTTGTTTTTTCCCTCCATTTGACCACAGTCAGACAGGCTCCCTGTGTAACTGTATTAAATGCATGGCCGTGTCGTAAAGCAACGGCCAAAAAACTGGGCAAGACTGCAAAGCTAATATTTCTGCAGAAATTCAGACTGAAGAACTTTTTGTTCTCCTTTATTTAAATAGTAGAAAGAACCTTTAGCTCTTTTTCACTTAAAGCATCAATAATTGAATTACTGGTGTCTGACAAAACGACAAACCAGGCCATGAAACGCCATCTTTTCCCACTTGAAGGCAGAAAAAAACTTGCATTTCTTCCAACTCCCACCAATGTAGAGAATCTTTTTGTTTCTGTACTGTGCCTTTAAGAATTTAAACTATGTATGTTGCTTTTCTCACGATAATATCTAACTGGCTGCAAGTATAGTGTAAAGGTTACTGTATTTAATGTAGTGTGGGGGTTAAACACGCACTTCTTCACTCCCATTTGGATGAATCCAAACTAGGCTTGAAGTAAATCAAACCTTGGCAAAAAAAAAATACAAAAAAACAACCTAAAACAAATGAGGAAGGTTTAGTCCTCATGTCCTCTAGAGATATTAACCAGAAAGCTCTTATGAGGCATTTCCCTGAAACTTATAACCTCTGCAAACACATTTCTGTGTCGTTTAAACTTATTCGTTTTAGGATTTGGGGAATAAATCTTGTTTAAATCCAGAGCACCAATTGGAGCCTGCAGCTCGGCTTCCCACAGCCTGTGTCACTAATTGTCACCTACAGACTAAACCTGGTACTGCAGCATTAGAAATGCTCTTTCATGTTACTGCACCTGGTAAAAGGGTTGAAGTGTCCAAATAAGTCGGTCCAGGAGTTTTTCAGTAAATCAGACAAGATTTAAAGTACCAAACAGATTTTTGTTTTTTTTAGCTGACTCTTAGTGCCACCACGCTCATGGGAAACCGAATCTACTTCCTCCTCAAACCTTAGTCTTTTTTTGTTTTGTGTTGTTTTTATCCTGCAACTCTAAAAGGTAAGTTAAAGAAAAACATGCTCACTCTATCCTGGAGAGTTTAATGAAACATCTTCTTTAGAATAAATCTTTCCTTTTTTATTTAAATTTTGTTTTATTTTCTGTTCAGTCCTTAAAATCTAAGTAAAAAGTTGGAGTTACTAATTTGTACTCTGACAACTGGGGCTTCCTGAAGATGTAATGCTTCATTTCCAGAGCACCTTGTAGCTACGTACTAGAACCACTTTCTGTGCAAACTAAACCTAATAAGGATTTTCCACCATCTTGTTGCTACCTTTTGTTTGCAACATGTTGAATTGGTCGAGGCACTGAACAGACATACAGCTGCTAATTATTCACCCACTGGTTGCAGGAAGTTAACAAAAGGTCAGGTTCATGAATCTGAGCAGCTAAAATGTGCTAGTGTGTGGAGGGGGAAAAAAGCTCTGATCCTTAGGAAGCCCTGTTTGGCTTTGCAGATAAAGCTAAAGCTCAAAGCCGACTCTGCACATAAGATATCCAAACTTATTTTCCTTGATTTAAATAAAACAAATCCATGTAAATAGCTGAAATCAAGAGGAATTTCCACAAAAAAAAAATGTGAAGGATTAGAAGTGTGCAAAACGAATCACTCAACATGGACCAGACTGTGTCTGGGAAGCTTTGTTCAGTGGGCAGTGGACAGGGATCAATAACATCCTTTCTTCAGTAATCTGCTGCCTCGAACAAAGCCGGACCAAGACAATAAAACATATGCGAGTGTTGTTGTTTTTTTGGTCAAGGAGTTAAAAACGCTGAGCAGATTGATGTAGATCTAAAGCAGGCTTTAGTGACAAATACCCGATTTTCCAATCCTGTAAATTTTTTTTCTTCTGTTTGACTTTTAATTGAAATTGTCCAGTTATTCTTTAGCTCCAGTTCCGTCACACGTGTAACTGAAACTATTTCGCTTTATTGTTATAAATGAAGCGTTTTCCAGTAAGAACAGAAGACGGCTGTTACGGGATGCTTTGTCGCACTCCACTGTCTCATTACACTTTATAGCCATTTATCAAAAAAACAAAAACTGAAATTTAGATGCATTCTTCGCTTCGTTAAACAAATTCACCTCAAAGTCTGAGTGATCGGTTTATGAGCTACACTTAAATGTGGCTCATTAGAGGACTTTTAGCCCCTCAGTTTTTTTTTTTTTTTTTTTTGATTCTTGCAGCAATGGTTGATAGTCTCCATATTAAATTTCTTCATAGAACAGCTGCTTGATGTGAGCAAATAACCAGCACCGAGATAGAATCTGTAAAGGTACAATAGTTGCTATCGACAATCAACTTTGAAGGACAAACCTGAGTTTAAAAATTCTCGCATTTGGCTGTCATGTCTCCATGCAGCTGTCCAGCTTCAAAGCAGTGTCTTCCATGATGATAAAAAGCAACCATAGTTGAGGGCAATCCTTCAAACCCGTAAATTGGTTTGACTCACTGAGGCTAACCACTATTAAGCTGTTTGAAATCGGAACAACCGACTTCAGATTTTGACCGTGTTGCGAGCTGTGTTACCGTTACGTTTACCATTAAAATATGGATACCGTCACCATTTGTTACTTGAATACGAAGCGGCTGCTGCTCCCAAGCAGCCACTTTTACTTATGTATTATTCTCGTTGTTATTGTTAAAGTTAAATCACGTTCCCTGATTGAGTACAGTACAAGTTCTAGAAAATGCTGTGCCTTCTACTGACCACTAGGGGGCAATGAAGGAATAAGCACTTTGTTGGCAGCTGCATGTTTTGATATATTTTTTTTCTATTATTCTAAGCGGTGGAAGGTAAATTGTTTACTTTAATATTTGTAGGCCACTCCTGTCAAATAGAAGTCCGATATGCAATGCACGTCCGTTTTATGAACAAATTGCACTGTTAGTTGTTTTTGCCAAATAAATCGAGCTACCACTGTGTCCCAGATTTAAAACCTTGATAACACTGCTGGGCACAAATTTCTACCAAAGTGAATTTTTTTTTGCTTGCTTAGATTATGTACTCGAATCCCTTTTTGATTTTTATGCTACATTTAATTAATAATACTGTTAGCAGTTAGCGTGCTAATGGACTGACCTATTTCCAAAATGTGCATAGTGCCTTGTAATGACTGAATTACTTAATTCATACATTGGTTAGGGCTGGGTATGCTTTCAGTTGGACATGAAATCCAGACTATTGCTCTCTAAATATTGAAACTAGGTGTGTAAATGTGATATCTGTATGTGAATGTCACAGATCGACTACCTCAAGGTATAATTTAAACAACCAGAGGGGCATTCAGAGAGCTCATCCTTAAGGCTGGGGGCTTTATTTGATGCCTTTTTTTTTTTAATAAAGGAAATTGTTTTGCTAGTGTTGCCATTTCATCGGGTTTAATAAATTTCATTGCCAGTAGGGTTTTAACTCATTACTATAGGGTGTTTGCACCGTCTGCAGCACAAGCTCTTTTCAGATACAAATCAGGCACAAACTGACAAAATAATTCTGGTGCTGCTAAAATGTAAACATTTTGTGTTATTACTGTTTTTTTTAGCTACTTTACTTCAGGAATGTTTGTCATTCTCAATTTGCCCAGCATTATAGTCCCATTTGCAGTTGCACAAGGCTGATTCTCATGATTTACAGCTTTATTAGCAACACGTTTAGCACTTTAAAAGATCTGCAAATCCTTGTAGTGTTGCTTGCTAGTTTGCAACTGCAACCATGCTAATGTTCAAAATGCATTTGCTAGGATTTTGCAACACTTTTTTTTTTTATCGTTGACCTGTACCTATGCAGAATCTAAAAGCATGTTTTTACACTCGCTGGTAAAATGCGAATATAGCGAATTCATACAGATCATTTCAAGCACATTCTGTATTTTTTGTGACTAAAACCTTTATTTACCAGCACTTTATTTATTTTTTTTCTAAAACCCATTGATGCCTTATATTGGTGACGGATACCCAGCCCTAAAGGAGCAGATAGTCGCGTTTGTTCCTGACATGCTCATTTACGCTGATGACTCTGTGCTTGCTAAGTTATTAGCAGGAACGCTATTAAAGACATGAAGAACAATTTATGGTGCTATGCTCCCATTGCTGCGGGCCTGCAGGCCTCCCTGTTGTGAAATAACTTTGAATCCTAACAGTGTTTTGCAGAAAATGCTGTTAAAGCTCGATTACGTCTTATGTAGCACTCGTCCTTCATGCCTCTGGAGAGGTTTTACGATTGAAGGTATTTGCGGCGTAGCACAGCAAGGAGAGGTAAGGAACAATCCTTCCAGATAGAAAACAGTTTTTATTTTTATTATTTTATTTTAATGGGACCAGGTGGAGCTCTAGTCAGCAGCAACTGTAGGATTCAACCGTTTGCAGAGTCCTTGAGTCTTAGCTGCTAGTTTGTGTAATTTATCAAGCATTTTGGGGGCAATATGTTTATTTTTATAAGCCTAATACAAAAGTTGATGTTTTACAAAGTGACTTGACCAAAAGACAGTAAACAAAAACACTGGCACTTGAATGTTAAATGTCGTTGGTATGAGTGAAAAAAAAAATCTCTATTTTTCTGGGGTAGTGTGAGCTTTTTAAATGTAAAACAATGCAATGAGTGGGAGCTTCTCACTCATGTCACTGTAACAGGAAGTGCTAATTTGTGCTTTCTTTTAGAGTGCCAAAATAACTTTATTTTCATATTTAGAACTGGAACCTGTGAGGCGTTCAGGTACCTCTTGAATCCCCCGTTTCTGACAGGATCATCTTAAAACCAAAGTTTTAGTTTAATGCTATCACGGTTTGTTCACGTCAGATTGATTATAAGGTGGCTTGACCAAAGCCTGTTTGTTCAAACCTAAAATTTCAAGTAAAAGGTCTTTAAAATTGCAATATTGTCCATTGTTGATTCAATTGAGTAACGCTTTAAGTGAAGCATTGTTACCGTGACATATGAAGTGAAACGCCCCACACAGGTTATATTAAGTCATATTTATGGTCCATAAACCTGTTTGTGCGACAGGCTCCATTGCTAATTTTAGGATCAAATCTTCAATCGGCAAACGGATTAGAATAAATTCCAAATATGCCAAGGTTTGGATTAAAAACAATAAAATGATTAAATACCATTTTGTAAAAAAAAATAAAATAAAAAAACGATAAACATGCAGTACAAAAGAAAAAGGTCAAGATTCTCTTCAAGTTCTTTTTTTTTTTTTTTCCTCCATTCTCGTTAATACCCTCGTGAATGTTTGGCAAGTGGCCATCTTTAAAGTCTCCCTCACGCAGAATTGACTGTGGTTCTATTGCTATGTTGTTGTGATTTGCATATTTTTTTAGGCAACAGTGCATTAATGCTGTCACAGGAGAGTTTCTGGCCAGTCAGGAAAAAATTTGGCTTTTTTTTTTTTTTTTTTTAAGCAAACTAATTGCACAGAAACAATATTGTGGTGACTTTCTCTGTTTAAAAAGACTGCAATCTAAATAAGTAGAGGCGTGCTTTTGAATGATTGTGTTTTACTGGGTGGATTTAAGAGTCCAGTGCTGTCTTCATTACTGATTGGCCAGACCGCTCTACGTGATCTAGCAGAAGCACCAGCCTGGTAGATAGTATTTGCTTTATGTATTAGTTTAGGAAGTGTGCATGAAGAGCACTGCACGAAAAGGAAAAAAAAAAAAAAAGAAAAAATGTGCAACTATTCTGATTTTACCACAATTAAAAGTTTGGATTTGCAGATGTGATCGGTGTTTGTCATTTTTTTCTGCTGTTACATGTGTTTGAAGAGAAAATATGACTTGCAGCAAGGAAAATAAGTATTTGAAGACCATAATATTTTGCAAGTTCTCTGACTTAGAAATCATGGTGGGGTCTGAAATTGTCCTTGTAGGTGCATGTCCACTGTGAGAGACGTGATCTAAAAAAAAAAATATCCAGAAATCACACTGTATGACTTGTTTTGTTTTTTTAAAACTATTATTTGTATGATTATAGCTGCAAATAGTATGTGAACACCTGAGAAAATCAGTATCTCGTACAGTAGCCTTTGTAATTACAGAGGTCAAACGTTTCCTCTAGGTCGGAGGTCTTCAACAGGGAGGTACATGACCTCTATGGGGTCTATGGAGGTGCTGCATGGGGTCGCGAAAGCTTTGGTTGATTTTATTTTTTTTTATATATTCCCCCCTGTAATTTTCCACCAATTGAAATGTTTTTAAATACACATTAACATAAATTTAACACACTGTAGTAAACAGATAAATGGAGGCAGATGTCTTTAATCAACGCACACATTCAGCGACACACATGAGCTCTTTCAAGCTGGGCACCATTTCATTCACAACACCTGTCCCATCAACCAGGAATCCGGATCAGAAATACTCTAATAATCCCAGGGAGAAATTACTTTCTTTACATCCCTCCAGCTGTAGCAGAGTGAGTATAGGACCAGTTTAATATAACACTATTTATATAATTAGGGGGTCCCTACTCCATCTTTCAATCAGTTTGGTGGTCCTTGGCCTGGAAATCATTGGAGACCCCTGTTTAGGTTTTTCACCAGATTTACACTTACTGCAGGAGTGATTTTGGCCCACTCCACACAGCTCTTTAGATCAGACAGGTTTCCTGGCTGTCGCTGAGAAACGAGTTTGAACTGCCTCCAAAGATTCTCTATTGGGTTTAGGTCTGGAGACTGGATAGGCCATGGCAGAACCTTGATCTGCTTCTTCCAGAGCCACGCCTTGGGTTTTTAATAGCTGTGTGCTTCGGGTCATTGTCATGTGGGAAGACCCAGCCTCGATCCATCTTCAGTGCTCTGAGCGATGGTTTGTCTCCCAAACTGTTGCATTTCATGGCCCTGGTTATCCTCTCCTAATAAAGTGCAGTTGTCCTGTCACTTGCAGAAAAACACCCCGTAAGCATGATGCTACCACCCCCATGCTTCACATTAGGGATGCTGTTCTTGGGATGGTACTCATCTTCCAGCGGTCTCATACAAATGCTTAAAATATTTATATATTTATGGATTTTTTCTTATTTTTTAGATTATGTCTCACAGTGGACATGCACCTACAATGACAGTTCCAGACGCCTCCATGATTTCTAAGCGGGAGAACCTGCAAAAATAGCAGGGTGTTCAAATAGACTTGGACGGATTTATTTTATCATTTTGTATACAGAAGTGTAAACAAAAAGAAATTTCATTAACAGCTCTCTAGCCTTTCATTTTTTTTTTTTATTGTAGCCTTGGAAAAAAATATAAAATACAAAAAAACAGCAATATAAACATATGACTGTATATTTACAGTGCCAACATTTCAGGGTTATTTCTTTACTTAAATACTTATTTTTCATCACTTTATTTCCTCTATCATAAAAGAAAATTCTTTTAAAACATGGGGGAAAAAATAATTTATTCAGCTAGAAACATTTACAGCCTTTTCTTCCTTTGGCACTTCAAGGCCTGAGGGTCCAATAGATTAAACATTCTAATCAGTAAAAATAAGCTGAATAATCAGCCATAGCTGGAATCTCATAGAGAGGGAAGGATTTCTTCCTGTCAGTCGAACTGCAGGGCGAAATGCATTTGGTCATGATTTGCAGGAATCGGGCTCTTTTCTGATCCGCTGGTCCTTATGGATGTCCAACCAGAAATCTGGGTTGTCTTGGTACCATTTCACTGGAAGATGCATACAAAATGGTTAATTAACCAATTTAAAGTTTAAAGAAGTGAACTCTGTTAAAGTGTTCTTTAACAGTCCATATAGGATTCAAATCTAGATCTGTAGTGAAACACTTTAGAAACAAGTGTATTTATATACTTTCCATGTTATTGCCAAAATTATTAACCTGGAAACTAGGAACTCTAAAAAAAAATTTATAAAATCCAATGTTCATTGTTTTGTGAATCATTGTACCTGTTTGTCTGATGCCTTCAGCCCAGGACACCTGTGCTCTCCAGCCCAGCTGCTGCAGCTTCTCACTACAGATTGGGTAACAATGGTCGACCTGAGGCCTATAGGAGCAATACAAGTTTTAACTTGGTATCTTGCAAAATTTTAAAAACCTGCCAAATATAACTGACTAACCTGCTGGATACGAACTCAATCCAGTCGTCTGATTCAGATTCAGTCACATTTTTTACCTGAAACATGCAGAAATGGTCAAAGCGTCCGAAAATTACTAATTGATAAACTTCATGAAACAAAATCTTTGACCCTACCATCTTTATAAGTTCCCGTGCCAGTTGGAGGATGGAAATCTCGAAGCTTGTTCCCATGTTGTAGACTTCTCCCACAGTTCCTTTCTCCAGAACCAGCAGGAAGGCCTGAATGGCATCGTCGATGAACAGGAAGTGGCGAGATAGAGGCAGGGTTCCCTGAATGGTGCTGCAGGAGGAAGAAATGAAGACTGTGGATCCTGTGTAGCATCAAATGAAGAGTTCTGTAAGTTGAATCATGCCTACCATTTTCTGTTGTTCTGCAGCAAGGTGAGAAATTTTGGAATAACCTAAACCATTTGGGAGAAAAAAGATGTTTAGATTGTGCCTTAATTTGCTTAAATACTCCTAGGATTGTTCTGAATACCTTCTCGGTGAACTGTCTGGGCCCATAGATGTTGTTGCTCCTGGTAATAATGATGGGAAACTGGCAACAGAGAAGCAGGATGAAGTCGATCCCAAAAAGGTCTAAAAATGGGGGAAAAAAATCCAGACCAAAGCTGGTTTACCTGATATTTATCCCAGTAGGATCTGACCAGATACTCTGCAGCTGCTTTAGTAACAGCATACGGATTGGTGGGGCTTAGCGGACTGTTCTCATCAAACGCCTGAGAGGAAAGAGAAAAACGGCTAGTCTACATGGAAATTCTGATTCAGCAGAAAATTATAAAAAAAACCTGACCGACCTTATCCAGACCAGGTCCGTACACTTCGTCCGTGCTGACGTAGATGAAACGCACAGGCTGGTGTCGAGCTTGATGGGCGGCTTCCAGCAAAACTCTGGTCCCGTCGATGTTGACCCGCTGGAAAATGGAAGGGCACTCGAACGAGGACTCTGCAGGAAAAAAGACGTCTTAATCCAAGCGAACTCTGACCGGATAGATCCTGAACTGTAATCTGATCAGAGGCAGCTCACCAACGTGGGTTTTGGCGGCCAGGTGAAAGACGACGTCAACGTTTTCAGTGAGGAAAATGTGATTTACCAACTGAGGGTTGCACACGTCTCCCTGTTCACCATGCAGAAACAGAATCTGTATTTTTTGCACATGATTTTCCAATAAATATTGCAAGATTTAAAAAAAAAAACAATTTTTACCCGAATAAAAGAATAGTTGGCTCTGTTTTGAACTCCTTCCAGACTCCTGGGACTGCAGCAGTAATCCAACTGCAACATAAAATAGATCAACAATTGTTTTTCCCATGCAAAATAATTTATCTTCTTTTTCCCCTGCCTGCCACAATTATCTTAATAAACTAGTAAAAATAAGTATGCAAATTTTAGTTTTTCAACAAATAAAGTACCCTTTATTTGTCTTTATAGGAGATTTTTGGGGGGTTATGGGTAAATTATTTAAATAAACAAATGAAAAAGGCAGAAATGAAGGCATGCAGCTACAAAACTTGGGAGCAAATTATAAAATACAGATCAATCCTGGAGGAAAACCAGACAATACATGCTTAATACATTTTAATGCTGTATAATTATGTACTATTAAAGGTCGTTACAGGAAAACCACTTAAATTTTTCTTGGTCACAAAATGTGTAATGAGTCGTTCAAGACTTACAATATCCAGGTTAATGATTCTCCAATCGGGGTAACTGGCAACCAGCGAACACACCAGATGAGATCCTCTGCGAATTTACAGAATATTTAGAGCATATTTATTCTGTAAGTATAGAAAACACGAGTGTTTTTAGCTTTTAATCATATTTAAAGTTAACCTACATGAACCCGGAACCTCCTGTAACCAGAACCGTCTTGTTAAAGTCCATTATCTGCTTTTCCTCCGACTGTCATGGCCTCTTTAGCTATGAAATATAATTTTATGACATTTTGCAGCTGATTGTGAATACCGTGTTTTCCTCTTTACAGTACACGGATTGTGTGAGATGTGCGACAGTTGTAGAACTTTTAACGGCAATGTTGACACGTTGAAAGTGGGAGGTGCGTAACAGTGCGTGTCAGCTGCTCTCTATAATTTGATTGGATATTGGCTATGATGTAAGAAGGATTCCATCATTTCAATTGGCGAAACACAGGTCAATCAAACTGTCAGCTGTAAAAAAAGGTTGAGAAGCTGCTTTAAGTGAGCTAAAATATTTGATGTTCCGGGATTCTTTTCAAAGTAAAAGCCTTGGTTGGGCCTGATGGATATGAGGTAATTTACTTTATTAATTATTTTTGGGATTTATTTTCATTTTGTTGGTATTCTCTTCTAAATTTATTAGTCAATTATCCTCCCGTTCCTTGTTCCAAGTTAAAATCAAACGTTACTGTAAGCTTTTATTTTTGTACTTCAATAACACCTTTCCGGTTTAACCTTCGGAGAACATGGCTAGCTTCGTACCCCGGCAGTTCCACTTCTGACTTCGTGGCTCATTGAACTGATTAGCTGACGTTTATTTTTCTTTATCGTTTCTCGTCAAAGCGCAGGAAAATGTCACTTTTATCGGTGACCCTCGCCGCTGCGCTGCTGCTCATCTTGGAGGCTTCGGGGAAAACTGTGAGGGGGGTCTTCAGGAGCGAAGCGGCCAGGGAAGAAAATGGCCAGTTCATCACCAAATTCATGTATCAAGGTAACGGTGCTGATGTACAACTGCGGCTCCAATCAGACACAGCTGCTCAGCTACAGTAGGGGAACTAAATGTTCATATTTTTCACTGCTTTACTTTCATTTTTATGTGTTATCTGCATTAAAGGGGTGTAACTCACTAACTAATCATTAACTTTCATGTTGGTAGTGATTGTCAGCTAATAAATCTCCCAATTTTTTTTTAACCTTTTAGGCATAATTACTCTTCTGAGGACCGCTAATAATAGTTAACTATTAGAAAAATAGTTGATTATTCAAAATAATCAATTGATCATGGATATTCGGATTGTTTCATCCCAAAAGTCCTCATTGGAAAGTCATATAGACTGAAAGACTAAATGATCAAGTATCGATATTAAAGTTCGATATTCGATATTTAAATAACAGATAAACACAGTTACAAAAAATCAATAATGTGTAAGAAAAAAAAAACACTGTTTTTTTTTTTTTTATGTAACTGTGTTTCACAAGTAGTAATGTATTTTGAGAACTGAAATGAATGAGGAAATTTTTTAAGAATATATGATGGTTAAAATTAAAATTTTATAATGTAAATAAGTTTTTGGGGGCGTTTTGAGACCCAGATCAAGCACAGATTTGCATTACCACTTAGTACGGAAGAGGATTAGGACCACTGAAAAAAAAAAATGTTAACTGATCTTTAAATTTTATTTCATTATAATATGAGAAAAAAGTCAGAATTCTGACTTTAATCTCGGATTTCTGACTTTTTTTTGTCAGAATTTGGACTTTATCTAGGAATTCGGACTTTAATCTCTGAATTCGGACTTTAATCTCTGAATTCTGACTTTAATCTCTGAATTCTGACTTTAATCTCTGAAATCATACTTTAATCTCTGAAATCATACTTTAATCTCTGAAATCATACTTTAATCTCAGAATTCGGACTGAATTCTGATAGCTAACAAACATATTGGCATCAAGCCATAGCCATGTCTGTTTTAGAGATTAGCTCTCTTGTATTATTCACCTTCTGCTCCTCCATAAATTAAATAAAAAGTCGCCTAATTCCGTCATTTTTCACCAATGTGTTACTGGCCCTCCCAAAAAGCTCACATCTTTGTCAGTGAAGCTGAGTGCTCCCACATTTCTTCCTTCATGGTTCCCATCTACATTAAGATCCAAAATTCTGAGATTAAAGTCAAAATTCTGAGATTAAATTCTGACTTTTTTCCCCATATACTGAAATAAAATTTAACAATCAGTTCACTTTTTTTTTCCAGTGGCCCTAATCCTCTTCTGTAACTTAGGCTTTTATGAAGACGTTTTAGTTTCTCCTTTATTTTATTTCCTTAGAAATTGAACATAAAAACGTCCCAGTTCGTTTAACTGTTATTTTAATAGTAATAATAGTTTAACTTTATTAATCTCACACTGGAGAAATTTACCTCTGCATTTGACCCAGTCCATTGGGAAGCAGTGGGCTGCCATTGTGCAAGGCTCCCAGGGGAGCAGTGTGGTTAATGGTCTTTGCTCAGGAACCCAGAGTGGCAGTCTGTGGGGACCGAACCGGGCACTTGCAACCTTCCCAGAGCACACGCGCACTGCTCTAACCACTATCAACCGACACTCCTGTTTTCCAGGTAATGCCGGCCTGTTGGTGTGTCGTCTGGACAACCCATCCCTGGCAGCAGAGAAGGAGGCTAGACTGCTGCTGTACCAGGACCTGGATTCAGACCTGGACAACCTGAGCTGCTCCCAGCGACTCGGCAGAGCCCAGTTTAACAGTAGGTATCCCGGTGTGATGGTTAAACTTTCATCTTTAAAGCAGGCAAGCAATATTTCTGTATTCTTCTCACCTCCTGCTTTAGTTCCTCTCAACCAGGAAGAACGTAACAAGACAATCCCTCATCAGTCTTCGCCTACAGCCTGGCAGGTCTTCTATGCTGACAGATATACTTGTGAGGTAAATGAGTATGTTACTTTTTTTTCCCAAAAACGTGTGGATAAAAAAAAAAAACTGAAGAAAAAGGATTGGTAAAGATGTCCCATTTCCCAGCAGGAAAGCTCAGTAACTCCATCCTATGCCGATGTCAGCTTCAGTCTACTGCTGTTTAATTCCGACTCTGCTGGGAACCCGCTGGATCACTTCAGCGCAGAGGAAGCAGGTCAGACTACTCTGAACTATCCTGTGCTTGTTTGTAGCTCCATCCACCTTTAATCCACTCTTTAGATAGAATAAAAACCCCTTTATTGTCCCACAATGGGAAAATGGTCACAAAAATATGGACCTTAAAAAGTGTATTAAAATAACAGAATAAAAGAGTTAAGTGTGTTTGTTTGTCCTGTTTGTCTCTGTGTTGCATAATACCGCCCCTACCATGTTTTAGATTGCAGCCAGTGTGTTTAAAAGCACCCTGTTCCTCATCTTTGCAGTCTAGATTTTATTTAACTGCTGTAGATTGTCATTGGGACCAGCTTGGGGAATAGCATAGAACCTTAAACCACCCTGAAATGTTTCCCACCCTGATTCGTCTGCCGGTTGTTTTCGTTTTTCCTCAGGGCTGCATAGTTTCTACTTCCTCCTGCTGCTGGCCTACTTCATCGCCTGCTGCATCTACATCCAGCCTCTGCATCAGGCGCTGAGGAAAGGGGGGCCCATGCACACTGTCCTCAAGGTGCTGACCACAGCGCTGGCTCTGCAGGGCTGCTCTGCCCTCTGCAACTACATCCACCTGGCCAGGTAGGGTCTTTGCGACCATTAAAGTTCAGCTTTAGTTTTTGAACTTCTTTGGCAGCAATTACAAAAAAAAAAAAAAAAAAACTCTAAAGGAAAAAGATAAACAGTTATTCTCATATGTATTTGAAACACGTCAGCTCGGCTGAGCAACATGCATTTTGTTTCTTCCTGTGAGACTGACAGACGGGTTTATGTCAGAAACACATTTGTATTGAGTTAAAGGGATGTTAATATTTGAGTGTGGTGCAGCCAAACGCCTGACTTGATTCTGATGGAGATTAAATCACATCTAAAATATTTTCAGCTTCTTGCAAAAGATAAACCATAAAAAAAAAACAAGTGGAGACATGCACAAAACTTAGGAGGACCTTAGGAATCCAGGTGCCAAAGGTAGCAGAAGCTCAGATAAACAGATTTGTTACAGTGAGTGAAATATTTTAATCTTTTACTTTTTTGATTATTATGTTTTGCAGATAAAAAAAAAACTAAAATAAGACTATTACATAAGATCACTCTTCCGGATCAAACCTAAGAGAGTATTCAGAGGAAACCTAGAAGAAAATAAAGTCTTATCTCACTTTAAGTTGGATAATGAGTGAAATCAGTGACTAAAAATGTTGAACTTAATTTTTTGAAGGTATGTTTATCTATGTGAGTGAAAATGATCTCCCAGCAGTGAATAAATCTTAACCATCCTGTAAACTGGGGTCTTATTTTCTGCAGATACTCCAGAGACGGAACTGGCATCCCGCTGATGGGCAGCCTGGCAGAGTGTATGTTTACCGTTCTCCATACTTCCCGATAACACTACTTTAAAAGATTCCTGGCTAAAGATTGAGCCACCAGATGTAGATCCGTTTGGTATGATCCACTCTCCCTTTGTGTCTCTGTGCAGTCTGGGATATGGTGTCCCAGGTGTCCATGCTGTACATGCTGCTGAGCCTGTGTATGGGCTGGACTCTGAGTCGAGGCAGGAAGCCTCAGTCCAGACCTCTGCAGTGGGAACGGTCCCCAGCTTCAACGGCCGTTGCCGTTGGGGGGGTGGTCACTCAGGTATGTAGGTTTTTCTTCATGTAATCGGGTCAAACGTTTAATCATGAGTTCTGCAGCTTAGTGGTGGCCTGGTTTGTGGTTTCCAGGGTGTGCTGCTGCTGTGGGAGCAGTATTCTGAATCAGAGAGTGAACATCACAGCTACCACGCCCAGCAGAGTCTAGCAGGTCTCCTCCTCCTGGCTCTGAGAGTGGGCCTCTCCCTCCTGCTGGCGTCTGTCCTCTACCAGATCATCTCCACAGAGAGGAGCACCCTGAAGAGAGACTTCTACCTCACCTTTGCTAAGGTGACGACATCCAGCAGCACAGCATGCTCCAAACCTACAGTGTCCTCCCCAATTAATGACACCCCTGAGGTTAATACTTTGTACAATCGCCCCTTTTGCCAACAAGAAAGGACTTAATCCGCTCCTATAACAGTTCACAAGATCGGAGAACACATTCTTCCTTGCACAATCTATCTAGATCATCAAGTGTCCTGTCTTATGCACTCTCATCTTTAGCTATCCCCACAGGGTTGAGGTCTGGGTACTGATATAGCCATAGGAGTACCTTGACTTTGTGACTGCTGCACCATTTTTCTGTAGATTTTGCAACATGTTTTGGATCATTATCCTGCTGAAAGACCCAATGACAACCCGTCTTTAGCCTTCTGGAAGAGGCCTTCAGGTTTTTATTTAAATGTCCCTGCATTTCAAAGCCTTCATAATGCCATGCACCCTAACAAGGTTCCCTGGAAGAGAAACAAGCCCACAGAATCACAGATCCTCCACCATACTTCACGGTGGGCATGAGGTGATTTTTTTGGCACACGTTTAAACGTCAGACCCACTTAGAGTGTTTGTTGCCAAAAAGCTTAACCTTTGTCTCAGGAAAACCAGTTAAAAGTCATGGTGCAAAAGGCATTGATCTGGAAAGGTCAGTTCAATGCAAAATAAATAAATATGGTGCAAAATGCAGTAGAACATTGAGTTGTGTTCTATTTAAGAGATCATAAAAAATCATTTTGAAAGACATTTTCTAGTGTGTTGCAGAGACATGATTATGCTACGTACAGACCGCAAGCAGCAAGAGCAGCAAAGACGTGCAACCTTCTTCATTTTTTATGCTTGTACAAGTTTAGTTCTGACGCACGGTTGAAGCATCTTTGCTGCTCTAGCTGCACGGAGGATAAAGTGGGTATGATGCATGTTGGGCGGAGCTACCCTATGCTTTCTTTGCCTGTAACAATGGCGGCTATATTTGCTGTGATCAGTGGGTAAAAAGTGGTTTTAATGATTTTAAGTGAGAAAGTCCACCTGAAAACTTAATCTGTGCAGTTAGTTCATCCAGATTACCATCCTGCCTTCCGGCCACATACCGGCGGTGCGCTGTCAGTAGGAATCCCATTCAACAGCATTTTAAGTTAATTTAGGCGTTAATAAACAGTTTCAGAGGAGTGATCACAGTGATCTGTATCATCAGCCAGATCAGTTTCTCTGATTGGTTGATATGGTGCGTCCAGCTGCAAAAGTAACAGCTGCGTTTGCAGCACGTCGCATGCCTCAGATGCTCAAACTCTCAAAACGCGCTGCTTCAGCTGCTCAGACGTGCTGCACATGCTGTTTAAAATGATCTGCAGGACATGTTGTTGCGCCTTGATGCCCGTCAACCATTGACTTTGCATGTAAACTAGCTTCTCTTGCTGCCTTTGCTGCTTGCGGTCTGAACATAGCATTAGAGTTTCAGCTGTTCAACATGCTGATGGTAGTGGGGGAAAAGCTGTTGCAGAACCCGCTGGCCCTGCAGCGAATGCTGCAAAGCCTCTTCCCAGAGGACCGTAGGAAGAACAGTCCGTGGTGGGGGTGTGAGGGGTTGCTAATGATGATATGGGCTTGAGACACGCAGTGCAGGGATCGTCTGATGGTTGTTTTGGAGACTTTGTGACCCCAAGATTGCACTGTTTGATGCAATTCTGTGACAGTGAGCTTAGGACTTGTTTTTACTCGTCTTACCATCCTCCTCACTGCGCGTTGTCAAGATGAAATTGGGATCTCTTCCAGCCTAGATTGTCGCTGTTCCAGTTGTTTTAAAGTTCTTAATGATTCCTCTGACAGTAGACACAGGCAAGTTAAGGCAAGTGGCTATTTTTCCTGTATCAATTGCCTGACTTATGAAGGTCGACACACATCTGCCTTACTTGAATGGTGTGTTCTCTTGTCCTTGCAATGTTGACTAATGGGTAAAAGAATTAGGCCTCTGTGTCACATCATATCTATACCCCAGGGAAACAGGAAGTCACCAATTACTAATTAAAAGTTCCTGACCTACTTTAGCAACTATAGAAAAATATATTTAAAGGAAATTAATAATTTTTTTTTAGCTGAATTGTTAGGGGTGCCAATAATTGTGGAACACATGATTTTATTTCATTATTTTTCCTAAATATATGATTTTTATTTTTGCCATCAAATAATTTATTTAAATAAAAGGTTGTTTTTTTTTCTTCTCTTTTTTTGCCTTTGGGTTCTATGCTTTTTTTTAAAAAAGGAGAATTTTTCGAAGTTGTCAACCACACCTTAAACAGGGGTACCAGTAATTGCTGAGGGCGCTGTAACACCTATAAACTCCATGGTGTCTTTTCTCCGCAGGGCTGCTTCCTGTGGTTCCTCTGTCACCCCGTCCTCGTTCTCATATCTGTGATCTTCAATGACCACCAGAGAGAGAAGGTGTGAAACCAACAAAACATTCTGAAATGCTAAGCTTCGTTTACGATCATCACAATTTCTCTCACCGCCTTCCTCTAGGTTGTCACCATCGGAGTGATCCTCTGCCAGTCCATCTCCATGGTGATCCTCTACCAGCTCTTCCTGTCTCGCTCCCTCTACTGGGAGGTTTCCTCCCTCTCCTCTGTCTCTTTGCCGCTCACCATGTCCAGAACGAACCACAGGGGGCGCTTATGAGCTCAGCTGCGTTCCCAGCTCTGTGAGATTACGGCGCAGATTGAGGCGTCTCCTCTAACCATCCTCTGTCTCTGTCAGAGGAGCCGCTCAGCTGTTACTGCAACGTTACTACCTCTGACTTCTAACTGCAGAATGTGGCTGGGGATAAAGAACCACTTAGAGGGTCTCTGGGATGTTAAGATGCATGGCCAAGCATGCATCAGCAGGTGATATAGACGTCAGCAGATAAAACAATTAAGCTTGGATGGTGCAAAGTCACCATGCTGATATTAGATAATTGAAAGGATCTAAGAGAGTCTGCATGCAGATAGGGGTCCTTGCCGCAGATTTCTGACTTCTTTTCATATCTTACAGCCACAAACTCTTTGTTTCCTTCCACTCTTCACAGCTTAAGGGAGGAAAAATGAGCCATTAGCACAGATTAGCAGTTTAGGATCTGCTGGATTGTTCTACCAGGATTCTTCTTTGTTCTGCTTCTTATCCTGTTTTAAAGAAAATGATCCCCACAGCATGATGCTGCCACTGCTGTGTTTCAACATGTTTGGGATCTCAATTTCTGACCTTCAAAAATCTTCATGGGGTAATTTATCTATCTTGTGCTGAAATCAAACAGGGAATTGGTTTGAGCTGTATTTCTCTGCAGCTCCTCCAAAGTTCCCAAAGAAACTAATGGCTGCTTCTCTAATTAGGTTAAAGTCAGAGGCCTTCAAAAAACAAGCTTAACTTGTCCATTTTTTTCATTCATTTACGTTTTGTTGTTTAATCTCAATCCTAAATAAACTACATTGCAGTGTTTAGTTGTAACGTGAATAAAAGTTTACAGGGTAAGAACAGTGTTGCAGCGAGCCGTATAGAGATGCAGGGAGTTTATATTACAGTTTGGAGCCTCTAATTTGCCAAAGAGATGGATCAGCTTAGATTTAAACAGACCAACATTTGTTTTAGCAGCAGTTTCCCGCTTTTGTACATGATTCTATTATTATAATTCAATATTTTTGGTGGGCTTTATACATTTTATTGAGATTTGGGGGGATAAAAAAGTAAAAGATGAAGGTGAGCTCAGTAGAGAGGTTTCTGTGGCTTATCGCAAAGTGTCTGGATAGCTGAAAATGTGACAGTAGCATGTGGGATGCAAATCATTTAAACTACATTATCTCTGTAGCTGCAGTGTTTAGCATGACTCTAAAATGCAGATATAGAGGATTACTAAGGCTATCTTTGACATGAAATTAAGTGTATATACATTCCAGTGATATTTGTTTGTTTTTTTTTAATTATTGTGCTAAAACTGAATTATGTTTGTTTCAAAATGCTGCCTGATGGAATCAGATACACAACTGCAGTACAGGAGCCAAGAGAGAAACTGACATCTTTTGTATTTATTCATGTATTTATTTTTTTTAAGTGATTCAAAAATAATTTACTGTAGAGTTTCAGGTGGGATTTATTCAGCAGACTGTTTAAAAATAGCCATTTCCTAACGTTCTGTCTGCTAAATCAGAATTATTTTAATTAGCAGTAAAAAAGGGCAAAATCCTGCACCAGCACTGCTCAAACTGTTTGGTCAAAGAGGCTGACAAGCTTCTACACGACCATTAAAATATACTTGAATGTAAAGTTTTTGTTTTTCTCCTGTTATAAATGTGCAAAATAATCGTATTCCATGTTGCTTTGCACTTGAACAGTGCATGTGTCGATCATTGCTTTATGCATTATACTGCAGCACAATGACAATCTAGCATTTAGTAGCCTATAAAATGTAATGTTTTGGTATGTAAATGTATCTATTCAAACATGAATGCCCATGTCTTACAAGATGTCACCTGTGGAAATAAACATGCCAACTGGATTAGATTAAATGTCATTTTTTTTTATGAAAGAGAAAAGCTAACAACGTCCAAGTTTATTTTATTTTTCTACAAGAGCTGCAGAGATCCTCTCCGATCAAAGAGTGACAAGAAAAGAACAGACTCTTCCTCTGGCTGGCATCGTACGGTGCCCAGGGAGCAGTGTGGGGTTAAGGGTCTTGCTCAGGGACCCAGAGTGCAGGCTGTGGGGATCGAACCGGGTACTTGCATCCACCTCAGAGCACAAGCACTGCTTTAACCACCAGGCCAACACTTCCCCCATTAAGGCAATCATGGTTGCAGCTCTCTGAAACGGGAGGCTCAGTGGTGTAAATTAAATCCAAACATCACGTATTGCATTAACAAATGTTGAAATTCATAAAACACATCACTACAATTCGTGAAAATAGCTGTTGTGAAGAGCTCTGAAATAATAAATTCCAGAAACCATGTCAAGATAGCTGCTCAGAATGATCACTTTCACCTCTCGAATTGTGAGGAAAAGCTTCTCGCTGTCTGGCCACTGTCAGCCAAAAATCCTTCAGTGTGTTTGCCAATCAGCATCGAGCAGCAAGATTCATGACCCCCACCTGCTCTATAGACCATCTAAGAGCATTAGCCTCACTGGAAGTGACGTATTTAGATGTATTATCCAGTCAGGGCTCTATTTTGTCGTTGCTTACCTCAATAGACCGGGGCTTAAACTTAACAGGGATTTCTAATAGAGGTTTACAGTGGATTAAACAGTATATTAATGAGCAAGATACTGTTGAGAAATTAATTGCATGACTACGATTTAATTTCCCCCTTGCAGTTTTCACGCTCCTCAAACTTCATTTCTTCATGTGCATATTGCACAGGTGCAGCAGGAAGTGTTTTAGTTGCAGGGAGAGGCTCCTTGGCAAGGTGGAACTGTTTGGGAAGAACAGTGCCTTGCAGCAGCATGTCCCTGTCCTTCCTCTTATCCCTCCTAAGCAGCCTACAAGACATCCATCCATCCATTTTCTTTACCTGCTTATCCCAAGTGGGGTCATGATGGGTGCTGGTGCCTATCTCCAGCTGTCTATGGGCGAGAGGCGGGGTACACCCTGGACAGGTCGCCAGTCCATCTCAGGCCTTCAAGACAAACATTTACTATTTTATACATCTATTTTGTATATATCCTCCTTTCCTAAGGTTATTACATGCATGAATGTGCATGTTTTTTTTAGGTTAAATCTTAATGTACTACAGTGACTCATCATGACTTATAATAGAATGATGAATAAAATCATTTTTATTTAGATGTGCATAAAAAAACAAAAACAAACAGGCTTTGCATTACTGCAAAACCACCGAAGCTAACTAGAAGAGAAAAAAAAAAGCAGCAAAAGGCAATTAAAAAAATTGTTTCACCTACCTTGTGGAACCCACAGGAGCACTGAAGGCTTCTCCCAAACGGATCCCTAACGTTTGTACAGTTCTGCAAGGGGCAAGCATCAATTCTCTCCAAGGCTTTTTTCCATTTCTTGGCCCCTGGCCGTTTGCCAGTTGAGAAGTGGAATTGGCATATTTCGAGCAGATGTTCCACCAGTAGCTATCTGGCTTATCTGTCTCTGCAAACATCAAATATAAAACAGGTTAACATGGAGCTAAGCTATGTGTATATACTGACATACAAACGACAGTAAGCAAAGTTTTTACAGCAAATAGACGAATAATTAAGTTATAATTGGTCTGATACGCCACATTATTTTGCACTACTAAACTGCAGAACTTTTATAATCCTTTTAAATAGAATGCAACTCAATGTTTTATATTCATTTTGCCACTTTTTGCACTGCATTTTTAATATTAATGCCCTTTTGCACCATTATTTTTTAAATGTTTTATTTCTCTCCTACATTGTTTACATTCTGATTACTGCTGCACTTTCTAAATGATCATGTTCATGCCACTCTTTCACTTTTGCAAGCTGCTCCTTACACAGTGGCAAGCTGCTCATAACACATAACACTGTTGCAAGTTGTATGCAACAGAATGTCGTTTTGCATACACTCTGTGCATATAAAATAACAAAAAAGTTTCTCTAGTCTAATATTACGTATATTCACACCCTAGCCACACAGTGCAAGCATATAAGAAAGTTTGAGTAACAGTTAAATATCATGCTGCTGGGATGGGAAGTTAAATCGTTTATTTATCTATTTATTTTTATGGCGGTGTTTTAGGCAAATTAAATCGTTTATTTTTATTTTTTATGGTGGTGTTTTAGGTAAATTAAATCGTTTATTATTTATTTTTTTTATGGTGGTGTTTTTATGAGTATTAATCAAGTTTCCATACCTTTTTCACGTTCTGTTGTTGATGCTTACTGTAAAACGTCCTCTACGTCACGGGACCGTTTGGACTGGTGATTGGTCCTTCGTCCTCTCATGTCACATGAGCCGTTCCGACGGAATTGATTGGTTCTCTGTTGAAACACTTTTATCCCGTTCGGACCTTGTTCGGACCTCGTTCGGACCTCGTTTGAAGTTGTTCGGAACTTGTTCGGACTTTGTTCGGACCTTTTGTAATGTGTTAGGACCTCAGAGGCAGTCAAGTAACTGGTGGGATTAGAGCAGACTATTTAAAAATAGCCATTTCCTACCGTTCTGTCTGCTAAATCAAAATTATTTTAATTAGCAGTAAAAAAGGGCAAAATCCTGCACCAGCACTGCTCAAACTGTTTGGTAAAAGAGGCTGACAAGCTTCTACACAACCATTAAAATATACTTGAATGTAAAGTTTTTGTTTTTCTCCTGTTATAAATGTGCAAAATAATCGTATTTCATGTTTCTTTTTTTTTTTTTAATAAAAGAGAAAAGCTAACAAAATCCAAGTTTATTTTATTTTTCTAGAAAAGCTGCAGAGATTCTCTGCTCTCCGATCATAGAGTGACAAGAAGATAGACTTTTCATCTGGTCAAATCACACAAAACTTTATGTCAAGGTTCTATGCTTTTTGGTCAGGCAATTAAAAGAAAGCAAATTGTCAAAGAAACATTATAAATCTTTATTTATTTTATATATATATATATGTAACTAAATCCATTTTATCTTCACTCCTCACCACGTATAAGTGTAAAATGTTACATCTAAATGCTTGTATTAGTCCATGTTTGAAAAAAAGAAGAAAATTCCAATAAAAATATTATTTCTGATCCATAATATATAAAGACAAATTATTTATATATATTTGCTTTTGTGTCAAAAGTGCACATATTTCGATCCCCCATATGAAATAGTTAAACATAAAATTCAGGTCATAATATTTTTACTTAATGGAATTATGCTGAAGGGGATCAAGCGTGGATGATTTATAGATTAACACGGTGGGAAAAAAAGCCATTAAAAACAAATATATTTTCAGGATTCCAGCATTACTTCTGTGACATATTTTGAACATAATCCATATAAAATTTGTAAATGTATTTGAAATGTAATTAGAAATGTATGTTTCTTTTATGAATACATCAGATTAATAAAACAAGGCATAACTGTAAGGTTATTTATTCAAATGGTAGGTATATACGGTCTTCTTGTGCATTTAGAGCAACATAGCCTATTTCAGACATCGTAAGTAGTATGTGCAGTCTGCGTCAATTTACAACAGTAGGGAGTTTTAGGTTGCAAAAAAATGAAATTTAAAAAATGATCAATAAATTAAACATCGTCACGAACAGGATTCGAACCTGTGCGGGGAAACCCCATTGGATTTCGAGTCCAACGCCTTAACCTCTCGGCCACCGTGACTACGTCCCCTTTAAGGGGTGACGTCACAATATATATACGCGCACCAAATCCCTGTATGGCAGGGCGGTTTTTCATAAGATCTTATTCTGACTATCCGTAATTAATTCTGATATCAAAGAAAAAGTTTTGACTAGGAAAAGATAAGTTTTAAAAGATAATTTGAAATATCTGAAATTATATTATGACTGGTGAAAATAACAATTCAAGATCACATTTCGAGTCAAAATGCATTTTGAGATATCTCAAATGACATCACCTGATTCTTCATTTAAAGTGTCACACATACAAATTATAACCAAGACATCTAAATGTTCATTTTGACTGGTCAAACTATATATATTTTTTAAATCTGAATGACGATAAATAAAAATAAGTATATGCCGATTAAGTATATAACGATTCAAAATGTCTGGAACGTAAGAATAGTAAAGCCGTTTTTGTGATAAAATAGCCTGCCATACTCGCTTTTTTTTTAAGAAGTCTTGCATTTATTTTGTCAGAACTAAAAAGCGAAACGACATTTTCTTTATTTAATTTTAATACTATTCAGTTGCGGGACTTCAGCTTACCTCGTCATCGTATAAGTTTTGTCACTGCATGCTTTCTAGAACTTTCAAGGTTGCCGCAGTATGTAAATAAGTTGAAGGTTGGGGAGCATTCAAGGTCACCGAGTAAAACACATTACTTAACATTTCACATGACACCGGATTGAAATAATAGTTCAGTATGTTTTCAAAGTTATCAGTGCTGACTTAACTACATATCAGCGACACTAATTTGATTCATAAAAATATTGTACGACCTTTTAAAAAGAGTGCGTTGAAACAAGATGACACAGGTTTCCATTTGTTCTATTTTTTAATGAAAGCATCACAATGACGTCCCCAAAAATGCTAAATTTCTATTGGCCTGTCGGGTTTAAGCCCCGCCTCCTGTGGATTAAGCTAGCATTAATAGAAGTTCAGGCTTTTACGCCGCATAAGAAGAGCGAAACAGCAACAAAGATGATCAACTGGAAGGTAAATATGACAGAAATATATTTAATTAAACCACAGCGTTCATGTTGTTTTATTATCTAAGCAAGGTAGTTTCCATATATGTTGCAGCTGATCGGAATGCTATGTTTTCAGAGCTGTTTAGCTTCATAGCTAACCATACAAATATAATATTATGAACCTTTTTTTGTCAGAGTCCTTCACTATTTATTTTTTTAGCAAGATTTTGCGCTAATGGTGCGCATTAGCTGTTGATGATGCAGCTTCTAACACATGGGGGTGTGCAGCTGCTTCTCTCTTTCACCCAGCCTCCCCTCTCTGTGACTAAATTAACTCCTTCCTTCAGCAAACAGCTGATAAGCCTCTAACATTTCCTCTCCTGCCTCCCTGACTGTTCCACAGATTTCTTTTCACATCAAGGTTTTCTTAATTCATTTTAATAGATTGTCTTGTTCACTTTTATCATTTTTTCCCCAGGCTTTGGACAATGTCCCTCTCCTCTTCTACATCTTGGCTCTCAAGACCCTCCTGCTGTGCCTGGGTTTTGCTGGGGTCAAGATTTACCAGAGCAGGAAAGAAGATGAGGCCCTGAAGAAGCAGCAAGCTGAGAGGAGGAGGTTGGCCCAGCAGTCACAGGAGCTTCTTGACAACCTGAAGGAAGACTGAGTACAACTAGAGAAGAAGGTTCAACTTGGTTACTTTTACTCTTAATAATGGCTTAAAGCTTCAATGTTTTCCAGGCCAAGGAACCCCAAACTGATGGCAAGATGGAGCGGTGACCCCATAATTATATATATTGTATGAAATTGTTATATCAAACTGGTCCTATAGTCACTCTATTACATATGGAGTAATGTAACTAAAGTAATTTCTCCCTGGGATTACTAAAATATTTCTGATTCAGATTCCTGGTTGATGGGACAGGTGTTGTGAATGAAACGGTGCCTAGCTTGAAAGAGCTCCTGTGTGTCGCTGAATGTGTGCATTGATGACTGAAAAACATCTTCTTCCTCCATTTATCCGTTTACTACAGTTTGTTGAATTCAAGTTAATGTGCATTTAAAGACATTTCAATTAGTGGAAAAAAGTGTAGGGGGGAATATAAAAAAAAAAGAGTGATCAACCAAAAGTTTTGTGTTTTCCTCTGTGGAACCCCTAGGGGTTGCGGACCCCCTGTTTAAGACCTCCACTCTTGAGCTTTCTCTTTTTTTAATATATGTATATGGCTAACAATTAATTTCAAAGTAAAAAGAAATATTCTGAAATGGATGGAAAATCTACCTTTTTCGCCAAAATGGCAATAATTTTTTCATTCTACTTATTATAGTAAATCAGTAATCTTATATCAGTTTCACAAATTGAAGCAAAGTCTATTATAAATATACAAATAATATTCTGACTTTAAGGGAACTTAAATTGGTAATCTATTTAGTCTGTTTGCTGTACAAAAAGCGGAAAAAATCTTTAAGTTACCCTTAAGAGTTTTAGAATAGAATAAAATCAAACTTTATTGTCAATACACTGTCACAAGTACAAAGCAACAAAATGTTTCTCTATCCAAAAGTGCAATACAGGATATAAATATGTATTTACATGTGTACAGAGACTATGTATGTATTGATTATAAATGCTATAAATAAACAGAAAGTAATTGTAAGAGGCTATAAATAAAAAAAAATACAAGCTATATAAAGACTATACGGGAAAGTTAAGATATGGATTATATATATATATATATATATATATATATATATATATATATATATATATATATATATTAATAGGGTTATAATAAAGGATAAATAATGAAAATAGCAGATAAAAGGTTGACCGATCATATATGCAGCTATAGTTGAGAAGTGGTGTTGGATCATGATGTTTTAGATCATTAAATTTATTTCAGTAAGGTTAATATCCACAGTCAATACAAAACAAATTCTTCTAAAGTTTTTGGTGCATTAAGGGAAGTTAATTGTTTAATACATTTATACTTGAGGGTTTTTAAGTATGGAGTGTGAATGAGCTGCTTGTTTTTAAGGTAATTCTGCTCCATTCCAATTGTTTTTGAGTCCAGACTTTGACTAGGCCACATTTTCTTCAACCATTTTTTTTTCTTTTGAACTAATCAAAGTTTTGCTGTTTTGTCTGTAATTATCATCTTCCTGCATAACAAAAGTCTTCTTGGGCTTATGGTTACAGACTGATGGTCAGACATTATTATTTGAGAATTTCTAGCATAGAGAAGACTTCATGGTACCATCAGTTACAGCTCCTAATTAA